GTACACTAACCCTTCAATAATCGTAAATAAACCCGCTGTCTGACTTCCACGAGCTATAATTTTGTATATGCCGTTAGGGTACGGTAATGCATGAACAGCTTGGCCACCATTTGGCTGAACAACCACATAAGGATTTTGACCAACTATAAACAAATCATCGACAATATAAGTCAATTGTCAAGAAGGTTATTTTCAGAAATGATCGTCAGTGTGAATGGGGAAGGAAACTGGATGATAAAGATAACGCTCTTAGTACCTGTCCCTCATCCTTTCTCAACAATATACACTTGTCAGATGTGAAAATAGTTTTTGTACAGAACATCGAATGAAATTGGGTACAAATCGATGAACATTGTTCATGAGTAGCCCCAAAATCTGCGTATGTGGTTTTAGTTGCTTGGTATTTTCATGTACAATTTCTCGTCAAATTTATTTTCTATAAAGAAATATAATAGCATAAAAGGAAACTGTTAAAAGTGTCAAATAAGAGGATAGTGTAAACGAAGCGCCAGTATTATATGGAGTTGTAATTGTGATACTTGTTGTTATCGCAATTGAACCTAGGATAAAAATGCAAAAAAGGTTAGAGGCGTTCCTTCTATTTTAGATTGTTTTCTCTTTATGTTACCATTATTATCAATCATCCCATTATTATCGATAACAATTGTGTAAGGACCGTAGATGTTTGAATTATTCAATGATATATAAGAGAGAGTGGCATTTCTGTGAACATATGAATAAATGTGACTTGGACCTTGTGTAATAAACAAGCCAAAATTGTAAATTGTAATCGATGTGTTAATGTAAAAATAAAATCCATCTCTAGTAGAATCTTGGAATACACCACCATTGTAGATGAAGAAGTTCATCGGATAAAGGAAAAGGTAACCAGCCCAAGAAGAAATTTCAAATAAACCATGGATGTAAACGTTAACAGCATTGATTGTCGACTGGTTATTTTCTCTTGTTACGTTGAAAGCAGCTGGGATAAGCAGGTTACAGCCACCACTGTTTGGCGAACATCGATCTAACGTTGGCGCTAGTCCGCCAAGCCACGTTGAATTCGCTCCAAAATCACCCGATCGACAGGGAAGAAATGTAATGGCTGACAATGAGAGAGGAAAGAGTTTACTATTGACTTTAGGAGAGGATCCGCGAGCGCATCACAAGAGATGTCATAAGGTGTGACTAAACTCAGTTGTTTCAAGCTCTCCATACATGCACAGTTAGACACACAAAAATATTTTTATATCTATAACTTGTTTTTAAAATGAAATTATTTTTTAAATTATTCACCGTTTTTGTGGGGCCTTGCAACTTAGACTAAGAGCTCCTCATTTTAGGAAGGGAGAAGGGAACAACGGAAAAGAATAAGCTGGCATTTTATTAACTGAAACTATACCAGGTACACACGTACTGTGACCTCTTTAAATATCACAAGCCATGCGTCTAGTCACTCTACCCCGTGGATATCGTGAATCTCTTCCCCGTCCCTCATGTCTCTTCGCTGACAAGCCTCGCGGACATTCCAAAAAGTATCCACGTTCCGTCTCACATAAACCGCGAGACCTGGCAGGAGTACTACGTACACGTCTTATCTCAAAAAGAGTGTTCATGGATGATCTTGAACTATTTTTTCCACGCATGCTACCATGAGTTCACTACCTGCATTTTCGCAGCCTTCAGGTCGAGCGCTGGCAACGATTGCCTGTCATCTAAGAATGTCGCACCGTCTTCAACCTAGAATACTGCAATCCGCGCATAACTTTTGTGATTTCTGAATGCGACAATGGGATCAGCATATGTCGCATAGTCAACATATCTCAGCATAGTCGAATACATACGGGAGTAGAGATCAAAATTTGGCAAACAAATCTTAGAAGAGAGCCTAACGCAAAAAAGTAGAAAAAAAAATTTTTCCGTTGGAAAAACTCAAAACTTGCACTTTTGTTCCCAATATCATTATGCTCATTTAGATTTTTTCCAAAAATACTGGTAAGGAAAATGCCCTTATTATAAGATATTTTCCATTTTTGAAAAGGGCACCATTCTCAGTATTTCAAAAAGATTATTGTAGCGACACCTATCGTCAGATGGTTTTTAGTTATATCTCAATCGAAAGAGCACGAAAAACTAAGCAAAATGGAAAGTTTTTCCTTTTAAGAAATTAAATGTAAATGAGATTTCTCTTACATGAATAACTTTGTATTAGTCCTTGTAGATCAATTGTTATCGTGTATGGACCATAGATTGTTGAACTCAATGTTTGATTTGAATTATTGTGACTGTAAACAAGTGTTGTTGGCTGTGAAGAAATGAATGAGCCACCAATGTAAATTGTCATGATTGTGTTTGATGAAACAAACCATAGATGAGTTGAAGTTAAATCTTGTAGTGCTCCTCCACTGAAGATCATTATGTTAATCGGATACTGAAATGTAAATGTTGTCGAAGAAGAATTGTCGGGAGAACCAATTTGCAATCTGCCATAGATTCTCACTGATGGAATATTGATGATTAAATCTGCTCGATCACTCATATATACTGTCACACCATTAGGGATAATCACACTTGAACCATTCCCCGGCACAAAGCTACCGCTCCATGTGCTCAAAGAATTGAAATCACCCGATTGAACAGCTATGATTGCACTGTTGGCTTCAAAGACAGATCCTTGCTGCTAGATAACGTATACTATGTTTTCTTCCTCCTTACTTGTGTTCGGCGATTGTCTTGCAATTGATGGAGCTGTTGTCGTCTTCGTGAACACTACATAAAGAACAATGAAAGATCCAAACAAGAACTGCTTAATTCTCTGATCATAAAATGATTAAATAAGATCACCGAGAAAAATCAGGTCAAACACATAGCAAGTTGATGCAGCATACAAAATTACATGGAATGAATAGAGTGTGGAAACACTGTCTGCAACAGTAATGTCGAAATGTTTTTGTTAAAGGTCAAAATCAGCTGTAGTTCTTGTTGATGACTCAAAATAACTTTCTGTTAATTGTACAGAAACTGCATTCCCTGGCAATGAAAGCTATAAAACATGCTTTAAAGTATCTTGGGGAGAGGGGTATTCCGTTAGAAGTCTCCCATTCTCATAATAATATTGTCGTCTGGTACTTTTCGTTTTGGTACTAAATCGGATGATTGGTGCACGATCTTTGAAAAACTTTTGTTTAGGTGGACGTTTTTACATGCAATCTTCATAACACGATCGGTACTAGAAAAATCTTCTACTATAGGGCTTATGATAGGTCACATACACGATTTAACCAGGGAAGAAAAAGCCTCGTAAGAGAATTCTGTTCAAAGTTCTGATCAGCCTGACTTGTAGAGAAGCACTCAGGAAGGTCCCGATTTAAACATAGTGCGCGACTAAACATATCGCGAAGAGCCACGATCAGCCTCTATACCGGATCTCTTCGAACTACTACTCGGACGGGTCTCTACAAGATTTAGTGCTTAGAAACTTTAATATCATACGGCTATGAGACTTTTTTCTTCTTAATCTCAGCCAGGCACGACAGACTCTCTACCCGTAGGTGACTCTCTCATGGCCCTTAAGATTAAGAGTGTCCTTTTCTGACGCCTGAGCTTTGGCTGGTTAGATATTTACTTACATACGGTAGTAATAAGCAACAAAATGACGATATATTTATTCGACGTGTGCATTTTCTTGCGCTGCTACTTCGATCGTGTTGTATAATTTTCAAGCAAATGAATCTGAAAGGCATTTTAACGTTATTACATAGACAATTTTTGTTCAAGGTTTTTTCCCGAACAACACATTAAGTTTGTATGTCATAAATTATCATGAAAAGGAAGAAACTTATATGGATAAAACATACGACAAACTTTATGATTATTATTTAATCTTTTTTTGCTAGAATGAAATATTAATCTACCTTTTTCACTGCCCTTTGGAGAAGTTCAGTAGCCTTTTATGTACATAGAATAGAAACGTAGAAGCGATGTACATGTGACGTATTACTCATACTTCTTGACTAATATACAACGTCAAAAAATAAAATAAAACATTTCTATTCTGGGTGGTAGACACATCGAATAATGTGTACCACGTTCTTATATTGATAAGTTCTATTAACGGTTCTATCCCAAATAACACCATAAGTGATGAAAAGTAGTATATTGTCAGTGATTGGGTGTTATAAAACTAACGGGGAACGGAAGAAATTTATATGGAAACACACGACGCACTTTATTGCTCATAGTTCCTCTTTCTTTTTACAATAGAATATTTACCTCTTATATTCAGTCACCTTTAAAGACCTTCGGTAGCTTTTTATGCACATAGGATAAAAACGTAAAATTGAGGCAAAGTGCTGCTAATCCAAAACTTCAGCAAAATCTTTTTCTTTTATTCGTATATGGCTCGATAAAGCACGTCGAGTTCTCTAGAAAGAAGTTCTTCACCATCGAATAACTTTAGGCAAATTTATTTTGAATAGAAATTCTAATGATACTTTCGATGGATATACCATTCGCTATTTCTCTCTAAGGTCGAAGATGTTTACTTGTTCCCAATTAACTACACAAATAACGGAAAACACAAATTTTATAAATTTTCTGTCGAATCACGCTTTTCACAAAAGAAATCATTCCTTGAATCGTCCTGCAGATACCTCACTTAACTGAGGCTACAAAATCAGCTCAGAGTTGGCCGTCAGCGACCGTTTGGGACGCCACTCGACTCCTCGCTCGTATAGCCTATTTTTCTGTATCTTTTTCGGCAACAACTCACTTTTCCCCACTGCAAAGATCCTTATGTTCTGACCAAGATACTATCATATTTTGAACACAATTTGTCAGATTTCTTCTAGAGGAGCTACTAAAGGGAAATACGAAATATGGACTTAGAAATTAAAATTTTCACTATCGACTACCGTTCTTCAAATTTCATTCGAGAAAACATAGATTATCTTCACTTATCAGACACAAAGCACCATCTACCCCTCTTTCCCCACTCGGCTACTTTTCATTCGTCGAGCGTATGCTACTTCCTGGGTGGATGGACAAACAGACAAACACACCAAAATTTTTGTGTACATGGCTGTTCTTTCAGAAAAGGGCCAAACTGCTTGTAAGAGAGCACCTTTCTTCCACATTCATCACATCTATCGGTTTTCTGTGACGAAAACTTGTTGTTGTCACAGGTTTGAAAAGAAAAATGAGAAGAGAAAACTTTAAATAGAGCTCGATGTTCTTCAATAACCAAAACATCCGATTCGACGAGTCACAACGACAACTGTCATCACTCACCTCTTTCCAACGATGAACACCAAACGAAAGCGACTCTGCTTTTTCTCTCAGTCTCTTCACTAACTAGTACGAGAGATATGAGAACAACTGCTATATCACCCATGTTCCACAACACACTTCAAAGTCATATGCGTTGATAAAAAAATAGTTGTTAACTGATGAAAAATCGATTTGGAAGCGTGGTTTCTTAAGCGTAGAATAATTTTACACATCGTCGAAGACTATGCCCTTAGTAACTTGAAACTCTAAAAAGCTATCTCCACTTTTATGAAATTATATTAATGAAATTTTAAGATTTCCAACTTTAAAAGGATTTGTTAGGCAATCGAGAACGCATAAAACTTTTTTGAAACTATTTCTTTAAATAAATTACAATCAATATCCAACAATCTCAATGATGGCAAGTTAATTCCACCGGTTACTGTTGGATTAAATCAAGGTGACCGTTTTCAAGTATTGGCAGTTGCAAATTCTGAACGTATCATTAGATCACGTGGAAGACAAACGGATGGACGAGTGATGATAATGGAAGAAGAAATTCTAGTAGGCGAAGGTCGAGGGAGAAACAGCAGAATTTCAAGCACCTGTGGACTCCTAGACTTACAGAAGCCCAGAAAATATTATGCAAACTTCTCAAAGCTCAAGGAACTAGGGGATCTTGGGAGTCCGAGAAAAGAATCGAAAAAACCTATTAGAATCCAGAAAACCTGAAAAAATTATCGAAAATAGGGCTAAGATGAAAAAAATCGTGAAAATTCAAAAACAGTCAGGAAAATTTTTAGGCTCCCCGAAGTCATGTAGAAGTTCTCAGAAGTAAAAGAAGAACGGCCTGAGCAGAGTTTGTCTCTCTCCCCTTAGCAATTCGAGTATCTCCTGCCTTCTCGCATCTTCTTGGCGCTCTTCCCTGTTATTCATTTATTACTATGCTCTTTTAGCTCCGTTTTCTTCCTCATCTCATTTTTTTCCTTCGTCATTGGTTGCTTTAATTAATGCTCACATTCATTTCAGCACTGAAACATGCGGTCATACGTTCGAATACTATCCCTCATGGAAACGACGTTTACTGTTGCTTCTTCCACCCTCAATCGTTCTTCCTTAACACCCCTTATTTTCGGTATTTTTTCTCTTGCTGAACATGGCATACTGATATACTGCTAGTCATCGTTTCGAAGCCTATCACAGCACTTACTCATTAAACAGCTTCACTCAGTAGGCTGTCTGCTCTTTGGAGGTATCGAGAGTTCTGGAATGTTCTGCAAGAGTCTTTCGGTTGACCTCGTTGAGCTTTCTCCTTACTGTTGGGGGTCTGAAGCTGATTTTTCTAGTTGAAACTTACACACATTATTTTATAGGGAGTTCCACAAAAA